AATTATTTATATATATAATTAGATAAATAATTTTAAATGGATAATTACTAAAATTAAATATTCTAACATTTGAATTTTTGAATTATCTATTGTACAATGTTTCTTGTAAAATCTCTTGTACAATAAATTTTTTTTTTCATTATCTCTCTAAAATTAAATATTCTAGTATTCATTTCATTTTGCATTATCTCTTCTACAATGTTTTCTAGCATTTGAATTTTTGTAGGACAGATTACCATCTCGATACAGAATTGAGACAGATACCAAGGAAAGCTACTTGAAATAGTAGCTTTGAGCATTTCACTACCGTGCTAGAGCTGCTGGATGATCAGCATGCACGTATTTTTCGTCAATCCTTCCTCTGGCCCTTGCATGAGTTGAGGGAAGTGCAGTTCTCGGGACAGATCATCGACGCACTACTATGTCGGCTACTGAGACCAATCGACGGCGATGCCTTCCACTTCGATTTCAGGGGCAAGGTCGCTACTTTCTCCGTATTTGAGTTTGCCCAAGTGACTGGACTAAAGATTACGAACGATGCAGCAGCTCTTGATGGTACTCAGAGGAGCATTAGGCTACACGGCTCTTATTTCTAGGGACAGGGACAATGCTTCTGCCGCAGCTAGTCGACGCGATCATGGGATGTAACCAGATGTTAGACAAATTGAAGCTCGACTGGTCTACATCCTTGAGAGCGTGTTGCGGTGTCACCCCAAGAAGACTGCGATCGACCTGTTCTATCTGGAGATCATCGACGATCTTGGTGTCTTCAACACCTGTCTGTGGGGCCAGAGATGTTTCGAGAATAAGGTGCACGTCTTCGCCATATTGCACTCGAGGCCCAAGGGGGTCGTGCTCAAGTACAATACATATGAATTGCCCCTAGCAATACAGGTAAATGCTTGACATAATTAATGTTAACATATTTTCTATAATAAATATGTATATAATAATTGTATGTATTGCAGATTTAGGCATATGAGATAGTCCCCATCTTGGATACTCGCTTTGCCACGCGAGGAGAGATACGCTACCCTCAGATGCATCATTGGCGAGTGTGCCAGAGGTCGAATGTCTATCAGGCAGACTTTTCTTGACGACCCTTAGGTGAGTATTATACATTTATAATTTAATTGCATGTACTTTCAAAAACTCATCACTTGTTCATTAACTAGTTGAAATGTCAATATGTCAGCTTGAAGTCATAACTGAGCCGACGCCGTATATGGAGGAGAAGGGTAAAGGATTTGTACATGAATTAGCCATTCCACATACTTCAAATGACCAGGTGTTCAATTTGGTTTTGTACCGAGATTGGGTACGTGAACTGAATATAATTAACGTTTATTACCGGCTTGTATGAGTTATCAATTATTAATTAAGTTAATAATTTTTAATGTTGTTGTTTGTGTAGGACCATGGTCCAGTTGATCAACGATCACCTCTGTTGAGGGCATCACCTCCTTCCCCGTCCAAACACCTCTCCCATGGAGCTCCGTACACAGTCAGAGCCATGATTTCGAGGATCTATATCCCCAGCTGACTAGATTCTTAGCAGAGGAGGTGGGCGTGTTGCGACGAGAGTTGACAAAAGGGTCGACGATCTGAGATGACAGTTGGTAGGCAGGGTCGATGATCTGTCTAATGATGTTAGATTGCTACGTGGCTACATCGTTGACCTTTATGATGAGATCACAGTGCTTAGAGGTGATATAGTGGCCATGCTACCGGGTACCGGAAGTGTGGCGGAGGGGGTGATGGAGAGAGTGATGGAGATTGAGGTCACTCACCGTTGTGGCAAGATGCTGAATTATAGTCATTATGGGCAGAGGCGGAGACAGATGGAGGTAGAGATGCCCGAGGAGAAGTTGGTGGCGGAGGCATATGGGGTGCCCGAGGTGACGGACAGGGCAACGGAGGTAAATTCGGTAGCAGAGGGGGTGCCTCGATGACGAAGGATAAGAGGATTGCAGTAGCGACAAAGGGTAAGAGGCATGCTGTTTATGTGTCGGAGCAGGTGGCATATGTAGTTTTCAAAAAAGAAAACACACAGTCTTGGATATGGTTTCTTAATTATTTGGGTGAAGACATTAGAATGGGTAATGGAAGTGGGTGGACATTGATGACAGATAGGCAAAAGGGACTTCAGAATGTATGTGACGAGTTATACCCGGCCGCGGAACATCGCTTTTGTGTGAGACATATGTACACGAACTTTTTCAACTCAGGACATAAAAGCAAAATTCTAAAAGACTTTCTATGGCGTGCCGCGAAACTTTAGTGGAATACAAACATTGGATACAAAAGAAACGTAAAGTCAGTGAAGCTGCACATGATTGGTTGATAAAGAGGCACCTTCAAGAGTGGAGTCTATCACACTTTTCAGTACATTCGAAGTGCGACATTGTATTGAACAATGGATGTGAAGTCTTCAACAAAATACTGCTAGATGATAGAGAGAAATTGATTTTGAATATGCTAACATCAATTTAAATGAGTTTTATGACAAGGATACAGAAGTGACGAGAGAAGATGGGGAGAAGTGAAGGTCGTCTTGTCCAAATATTACGAAAAAACTTCACAAGAATGCTGAGATGTTTAGGGAATGTACCTTGCACTTGTCGGGTGGTCCAAGATGGCAAGTTGATTGCAGTTCGGGTACATTCATCGTGGATCTCGAAGAACGCACATGTGCTTGTAGGAAATGCGATCTTACGGGTATACCTTGTATGCACGCTGTTGCTGTTATATGGGATTGCAGGAATTCTGTCGAGGATTATGTTGAAAATTGTTACACTATTGACACCTATATAAGATGTTACAATAATATCATGAACCAAATGAATGGGAAAATGTTGTGGCCAGATGTTGATGCACCTCCAATCATTCAACCTAAGTGGACGCTTGCTACAAAAGGGAAAGAGGCAGAAAAAACGAAGAAAACAACCAGAAGAAATAATTGTGGATGCTAAGGGGAAGGCATATGTGAAGAAGAAATGACAATCCACAATGACGTGCACACAATGTGGATTGAAGGGACACAATAAGCGATATCATTCGAGAGACGATGCCCCATTTTCTGTAAGTTTTCATTAGTTGTTATTAGAAAAATTAATGTAAGTCCGAACAAATTTGGTAATTCTAACTTGTATTAGTATCAATGACAGGACTGGGTTGACGCGGAATTAGAGCCAATTCAATCAAATATCCATGTTGATATTAATGAACAAGTACATAAAGTTTTGATTCAAGTTCTTTTTCATACATTTTAAAATTCAAGTTCCTGTTAAAAGCTAGTAGGCGATGAGTGCTTTACATTTGAGCTCCTATGTTTTTTCAATGTTTGTACTGCTTTACAGGGTAAAATGGTAGCCTCTAGAGGAAAGGGATCTTCGTTATCATCGGTGAAGGTTGAAGAACAACCCATTTGGAGTATTGGATTTAGCCAACCTGCGATAAAATGATGTGGCAAGTTATTGTTTATCTCAAGGGAAGTGTGTATGTGGACCAACGTTTTGCAATTTTTGGTCAACTAGAACGACAAATGACATGGAAAGGACTTTTGTTTTTTTATCACGGTCCACATTTTTTTTTTTTGTAATAACCGACCTAATGTTCCACAGTTGTTTTTGTATCACTTTCTTGCATCTCTTGTGATGAAATGATTGGGAAGCTATTGAACTGATGCTGTGGTTCTATATTTTACAAATTTAGTCCTTCCAGTGCATTTTGAGCCTTGTTTACATGTGTTTTCTATCAAAATTTTCACATAAACACCAAATAAATAACTATATGTACTTCAGACAAATATAGAACCACTCACCTACATTAATGTCAAATATTTCCATTAGAACAAGAAGTCATTCATTGGCATGGAATAATACATACTACTCTTAACACTACGCGAAGTCCAGTAGCATGAATACGAACATAAATTATGAGAAGAGCTTAATGTCAAATACATGAAAACTGAGTGCGACTACTCCAACAAAAGCCGGTTTTGCTCAGTCACATTGTGTGAACTTCACATCAATTTTCCCTTTCCTTTCTCGTCATCGTTCATCCACAAGATTTTACTTCATCCTCGGTTTCCAGAAAGTCGAGTTTACTCATGTCCCTCGCCCCACGCAATGGAAATTATACTAGACACAAAAAAAGAGAATCAACTTTAAAAATCGAAAATTTAATGCTACATAGCATATAACTGTGCGTTTGTGAAGACTGTAAGTATTGCACATGAAGGTAGTGCTGACACCTCAATTTCAACACAGCAGTAAGCTGAAGCTCGGTGCAAATAAACTTGGTTTTATGTATTGCCAAATTCGCTTAATCTGAAACTGAAGCTAGGTGCAAAGCTTAATCTCAAGCTGACGTTTTTTACAGTTGACAACTTTCAAAGGAAGAAGATGACAGAAATTAGAGAAGCCGAACCTGTAATTTTTTGACAAATGAACACACACCTCAGTGAGATCAATGCAGGGTTCTTCGATTTCGCCCAGCCTTCGATCGGATTTTGATTTGGGCGAAATCAATTTCTAGGGTTCTTCGTCTTTCTGCTGGGAATCGATTTGATTTGTGAGTAAAAAGTGTTCTGAAAGGTCATCAGAAGATGAAAGCGTGGGTTTCTCCATAGCACTTTATCCAGCTTGGCAATAATTGACGCCGTCGGATGCCAACTCGGATTCTGTTGAGCCACGTCAGATAGGCTGGAGATGGTCATTTGGGGAAAGGCGGATGGAGTGCTGTTTTCGTAAGTTCGGTGGCCACTCAGAAGCAAAACAAAGTTGAGTGACAGTTTGTGAAGTTTAGTGATGAATTGAACTTTTTACTTTAAATATGTTAACCCATGTTTGATGTTTGGGAATAGGAATAACTGCTTATATATATAGTAAAAGTCGAAGTCCTTTTCTTGTTAAAAGATTCCTCTGCAACAAACCGCTCTCTACCAATTAATTCTGGAAAATTACCTCAATTAATCAGACACTAAATCCTCCGAAAAGATGAGAGGCTGGGGCAGGAATGAATCAAATTACAGAAATCCATGTCTAACAATGCATCAGCCATGGGCTTCTTTACTGGTTCATGGCATCAAGCGCATTGAAGGAAGATCCTGGCCCGCCCCTATCAGAGGTACATTTAAACTTGATAATTTCTGAAACCCATAATTTCTTTTTCTTGTTTTTGCTCTGTTCTTTTATCTTTTTCGATAATTAATTTATGTGTGATAAGGGTGCTAAACCCTAGGGTTGTTGACAGAATCTTTATCGCTTTTCTTTTTGCAGAGGTTATAATTTTTATTTTTATTTTTTTGTACTTCATCTTGTAATCTTTGTTCTGAGAGTAAATGGTTTACTTGATAATCAACGTATCTATCCATGTTTAGTTGGTGACAGGTTTGAGTTTAGTAAGTATTAATGAAACATGTCTTAGTGCACTATGATTAGGGGAATTTCTAGGTCTATACTATGTTTGAACTTCATAAATCATTGAAAGGTGGAATAGCAACTGTTTGGGTAAATTCCTTACTTCGCTCCTGCAGATATTGGCAACCGTAAACCGAATTGGTTACTATCAATCAGTCAATTGATTAGTAACTGCTTGCCATCCATGACCTTTTAATGTTTTTCTATTTCTATTTATCAATCAAACAAATCCTGTTCATGATGCTTCTGTTCTAATCAATGAATTGGTCTGGTTATAAATCTGTCTTACTTGGACTATGTGGAAAGTATATAGCTTTTCCCACTTGTATTAGCTGGTTCAGCTTAAACATTCAACCAATTACTTTTGAGATTTTGTTGTAAATCTAATTTAAGTCTAAATGACTTTTCAATGTATCAAAGTGATTGTAGCAAAACAAAACTTTACTTGTTTTAAGTTAAATCACAATTCAAAACTAACTTTCGAAAAGTATGTTTAATTATATATTATATACAGAAATGATCTAATGAGCACCGGTGCTCATCTTATCCTAAACACCAATGAGTTGGCACATTAATTCATTGGTGGATTGGAACTCACAAAATCTTTATCCACCAATGAATTAATGTGCCAACTCATCGGTGCTTAGGATAAGATGAGCACCGGTGCTCATTAGATCATTTCTGTATATATATATATATATAGTCGTTCAACATGCTCATGCTTTATTTGACTTTACTTCTATGTGGTTTTGTTATGATATGTTTGATAGATTGATTCATTAATTGAATGAATATTGTGAGCATGTACTTGGAGATATGCTGATTGTCTTCTCCAGTAATTGGTTATATTATATTATCTTGAGATATTGGAGGTAGTACACTGAATGGTAGAACCAAGTATATATCCACAATCATGCCCTTGATTGATCAGACATCATTACAGTTTTATTGGTAGAGAGTTTGAGCCTAATATTGGAAAATGTTCTCTATCTTCTACTCATTGCCATATGTCATGGACTATATGTCTTGTGTTAAATATGTTTATCACATAAGAGATAATTTTTACTTTAAATCCTTTTTAATTCCACATCCCTTGTTTGACACATGTTTATAATCGGTCAAATCACATTTTATCCGTATATTTCATGGGACCCACAAATACTGCACACTTATCTACCAATCAAATCTATATATTTATAATTTAAACCAATTATAAACTCCCAAACACGTTTTGGACATTATGATATGTATATTGAATTTATATCATGATGTTAATTGACTGAAGCATTCCCATGATTGTGTTCTGAAGTCTGCAAGTGCTCACGGACTCCAGTTGTTTATATTACTTGATTATTAAATGTATTAACTGCATTGGGCACGTTTCCTTCTTTTCTATTCTTAAAAATTTCGAAATTTTATCAAATGAAAATCACACACGAGGTAATATCGTTAATCAATAGTAGATACTTACCCAACTCAATGTGAAAATCCATCCATGTGTCCAGAGTAGTTGGTATGGAGTGGAACACCAAATAAGCTTATTAATACATAAGCTCAGAATCTCTAAAACTAGTTCAGCAATCCGTTGGCAGCCCTCCCTTGTATTCTTTTAACGTTACCACACAGTGCAATGTGATGCTGCAAAATGTTATATTTTCTGGGATTATCTTCCACCCAAGTGAACTTTTCTGGTTAACTAGATAGGTCCAGCGAATGCCATCATGGATTTTCTCCTAACTGTTTTTTGTCAGACCATCCTATGGTGGAGTTTTATTAATGCTAAAATAGGATACAATCATTCCAAGGTTCAATGCTTTGCCTTCAAATTTGCAGAAAGTTGTTACGGCTACATCCATTCATGTCTGATTGGCGGTTTGGATATCAACCACTACGGTCTTCCTTTTGCTCACGTCTGCTCATGCATGTCCCCATGCACACTCGCAATTTAAGAACATGTTTATGTTATATTTGATTTTTCTTCTTCTTGCTATTTATGCTATATTAACATGGATTAAATTGGTTGTAAACAAAAGTTCTGAATGGATTTTCCTGTAGATGTAGTACTAGATTCTATGGAGTGACAAAAAGTGATTTGATATATAATTGATTCCAAATTAATTGGGAATAATGATTTTGTAATATTATGTAGGTCGACTCTGGATTCATGCTGCTGGTAAGGTCCCAGAACCAGACACAATCAAGGCAATGGAGGACTTTTATAGGGAAATCTATGCAGTGAATGGAGTAACACATATCGAGTTTCCTGAGCACTACCCAGTGTCCAGACTTCTGGGTATAAAAGTTAATTTTTCTCTATGTGATTAATGATCAATTCCTTCTTCCCCACGTTTTTTATAGAATATATACATATGGGAGTTGAGAAGCTGAAGTAGTGAATTTCTGTTGTGAAATGACAATTTTTCATGTTCATTTTGGAAGTATTTTATTGAGAAATTATTCTGTTGGCTGGGTTGAATTTTTCACCCTCAAAATTTGAATTATTATTTTTCGATGAATGGATTGTGACTGTTATTGGTCACCCAACCTTGTGATTATTATGCATCTTTATCATGTGCGGGCAGAGCCTTTGAGCCACATCCTGATTTTTTTATTTTTTATTTTATTCTCATTTCAAATGGCATAGCATAATTATTCTCATTTCAAATGGCATAATACATAATTATCCGTGACGATATGTATGTGGGACTCGCTTATTTAGAGAAATGTATACTCTCTCTTATTTACATTTGAAATGATACTTTATTCCTTTTTTTCTTCTTGCGCTTGGAAGTATGTACATTCAGGACATGTTGCAATTCAGATTAAATCTTTTTCTTGACTTTCCAACAGTCTGCTATAAAACATTCCATCGGATGTTTATTAACTTTTGTTACTTAATCTGTGACATCAATTTTCACAGGTTGTGTTGAAATAGCTGGTTGTGTTACATGCGAAGAGCTAGTAAGCTGGGAAGCCATTCCTGAAGGGGTGAACGCCGAAAATCTCATGCATCTTGTACTTTATAGCTATACGATGTGGATACTGCTGTAATTTATTCACGTTGATTTGCATATTTTCTTCTTACGTAATTCAAGTGCTTTTGCTTGCAGGTGAGACTAGAAGGGCAAACAGCTTTTGTTTGGCTTTGTGAGCAACCACAGGTTTTTATTGCCCTCATATATATGATTACATGAGTTATTTTTGGTTCTTCAACACCATGTAATCTGGTCTGGATATACACGTCTCAGTTTTACATCCAAGAAAAAAATAATTTTCTTTCGTTTATTTGATGCAGAAACTTATAGTGCCATTTGAGATGCGAGGGTACCAAGGAGTTTATAATTTGGAAAGGAGGGTATGAGGGGAAACTAATGTCATGTTCTATTGGAGGCTGGAATTTATTGCTTAGTTATCAGGATAACCTAAAGTTGTTTTGCTCTTCTTGTGTAGATATATGAATCAGCAGTTAGAGGTCTCACTTCTATTAGCGCTCCATTACCAGTTAAATTTCCTCTTCCGAATCCGCAAGATCGTTTTTCTTTGAAACCTGGATCACTTGCTTCTTATTCCAGTGGTTCAAGCTCATCGAAAATGGAGAAGTCACCTGCATTGCAAGCAGCTATAGATGGTGCTCGAGCAGCTGCGACACAATTTACTAAGAATAACAGTTCTGAGCCTACTACACTTACCATTGAAGGCAGCGGTAAGCCTGTATCCAGCCGAGCAAAGTAGAAATCAAATGAGAAGGTTCAAAGGCACATTGATGAAATACCTGAGAGTTATGATGCGACTACAGTGGCTCTCAAAGTAGAATTTTAGTTTTTATTCGATGAACAGTAAGCTATAAATGCTGTGTGGATGTGATGTACCGATCTGGGTTTTCGCCCTCGCGCATGATGCTAATGGTTGTTTACATGTTATATATTTAATTTGTTCATTGTGATAGTTTTCTTGTATGATTTGTGTAATGTGCATTTTATCAGCAGAAGTGAACCATGAACTCTTTCATTGATTGAAGAATTATAAACGATGTGAACCAAATATTCTGACTTTTGAGCTATTATAATTTGGTCGAGCTTAAAAGCACCTTAAAGTCACAAGACCATGACGTGCTGCACAAGACACATCTTATGGTGTCGAGATATTAAGAATACTATACTGTGTTATCGAGATATCAAGAAAATTGGATATACTATACGTAAATACTAATTTAGTAAAAAAATCATGGTTGAGAATTAATTGTATGGCACGATTTACAGGAAAAATCTGAAATATGTGAGCATGCATTTGGGACATTTATTAATGTCACCAAAATTGAATATTGACATCTACTTAATATAAAAATCAAGAACTAATCGGATGATTAGGAGGAAAAATCTTGTCTCGAATCTCGTGCATTTGGGGCATTTAAAATGACAAGACAAAATTGTTCACGGTTTTCATTTTAGATAAAATTTTAGCGAGTATTGTTATGTAGCGAAATTGGAGTTAAATACTAGTTTAGGTGGCATGTAAGTGTAGCATCAATTGATAAGAAATTCAGTCCATGTTTGGTAGTACATTTAAATTTTAAATACTTATAAGTTGTGGATTTTACATGATTATGTGAATAATAAGCGGGTCGTAATATGTGAATCTTATGAAACATGTGAACAAAAAATATGCTTGACCATATTAAATTAAAATTTGAGTTTTGCCAAACACGCTATTAAATGGGACCCGTAATGCTACATTTAAATAACATGTTCTTAGCATTCAATTTTGGTAGAACATCTAAAATGTAGTCCCAGGATAATATGCACTTATTTGAGATTCTAAACATGCTTATTTACTGTTAAAGTGAGTCGACATCTACCTAATTTAGTGTAAATATGATAGTGTAGGTAAAATCCCAATTTAGGTGTAATTGGCATGAAAAAAGGGTGTTTTTGAGTTTAAACGGGATTGGTTCAGAGCACTTGATGATCAACTGGATTGCAATTATTCAATATGAACAATTAAGGGAGCAATTGGGCGAGAATCACAAGTTTTGGGAGTTAAATTCAATATTTGGAAACTTTGGAGATTTAATTGCAATATTTCTAAAGTTGCACAGAGAATCACAAGTTTTGGGAGTTAAATCCAATATTTGAAAACTTTGGAGATTGAATTAGAAATTTTCTATACTTAAACCGGATCAATTATGGATGCTGAGGATAAAATTATGAAGAGTTAAAGTTAAAGGGTCCATTGTGCAAAAAGGAAGGACTCGAGCAGAACAAAAGGAGGAATTCGAGGACCAAATTGCACAAAATCATAAATTGTGATCATGAAATCACAATGCGATCACAATGGTCGAATTTTGATTTCCAACAAGCAAAGCATGAAGACGATGCTATCGCAACAAATATCAAAGTACAATCATGAGTAAAATGTCAGTCCAGATTTTGTTTCCTATTTTGATTCAACATAGGAATCGATTAGGGATTTTTTTACCTATTTGGTGTCTGTAAAAACATTTCTGAATCAACAATTATATTGGGCTTGGAGGATTAATATACATAAATCATTTAAGTTAAAGGAGGCTCTGTACTACAAAAATACATAAATCTTTCACAAAGAGAAAAGTCAGAGGAAGCTTTTTATCAACTGACCCTTTCAAATTTTATAAAAGTTTTGATCCAAAAAACATCTCATCCTGGGCCGAAATAGAAGAAGAACTAAAGATGATTGATCAAGGAGTCACTGAAGAGAATTGATATTTTCAAGATTTCTTTCGATCTTTTTCTACTATCCAATCTGGGTAATGTTGTATTAATTTAATTTGTATTCTTGTAACTACTAAAAGATTCTTGTCGACCTCTTTTTCCGCACCATTAATGTGGACAACAGATATCGGGTCCACTTGCGTTCTCTCAATCTAATTCCAATATTTGTGGACTGATTGTCAATCGATAATAAAACAATGTTTGAACATGGGAGAAACTTTATAATACGAGACAAATATATTCGGGATCTCGCGAAATATACGAGATAGATTGCACAATAATGAATGACTAAGTAAGAGCCAAACTCAAGATCACACCTCAAACGTTAAAAATAAAAGATTAATAAAAAAAGGAAGAAAATATATAGCTTGCAGTTGATATATTTGCATTACCCCTCAAAAATGACACAAATGAGGGATATTTATAATGTTACATGTGAAATGGTGCCCATGGGATGGGAGGACACATGGCCTCATCTCTTTAACCGAGGTGTCTTATCATATGTATCAATTTTGACTTCACTAGTCTGTTGCGCATTAAATGTCTCCAAAAAGGAGACAACCCCATAACCTATGTTGAGAAGATTGACCTTTCTACTCATTACAAAAGTTCAATCAATCATTCTAAGAGGATTCAGAAATTCAATATCTTCAAACGTGGATCGTCACTAGTTTTAGTTGAGCTTCAAATTCTATTTCGTTGAACCTCGTCACTTTGGCAAAGAAGTTTCGTTTGGACCCTGAATTTGTCTTTAGTAGAGGAACTTCGACAAGGTCAACCTCATGGCTTGGATTTGTCTAGACTCTTTAAGAGTGCGCTTCGGTGGATTGGATTTGTCTAGACTCTAATAAGTCATGCTTTACATGGGATGCACATGGCTTCTGCGGATGGGGCTTCGGTGGGTCGACTAAGCCACTTTGGAGCCTAGGTGACGAACTATAACAATAGTCTCCCAAATTCATGTAAGATTATTCATGTCATGCGTGGACTACTGTCTTGAGTTGAATTTCTTTGGTACATGTCTTCTTGCCATGGTTAGGTTTTCAACAACACAGTAGTTCCCCAAGTCCAAGTATACATATTGATATCATAGTTGAAGTTCAAAATTGAACATGATTTTCGTATGTCATCCTATCCTTATGTAACACTGAATTGCTGAAGTTCCTTATTTTGAAAATAGCTGAAATTCGTTTGATGAGCCGAAGTAGGGAAATGCTAAACTGTTGAAGCTCCTTATTTTGAAAAATAGCTGAAATTCGTTTAATAAGCCAAAGTAAGGAAGTGCTGAACTGCTGAAACTCCTTATTTTATTGATAATAAAGTATACTTTTGATAATTGTGCCAATGATTTGATGTTTTTGTACATGACCAAGGTAAGATAACTGAGGCATTTCGACTTCCAATACACGTACAAGCATTATATATTGAATGCATAATGATGGTTACGTTGCTGCAGTTTTAGATTGATGCGCTAAGGGTCGTGCATGAGCGACACGCATCAATTAGAGGTGTTAATAGCAAAAACTGTTTGAATTCAACGCCTCAGGTGAAGTTAGAAATGGACGCTTCTGATGAAGTAGATCTAGATCCAATGGTTGAGCTTTGTCCTTTCTTCCTATAAAAGCCAAAATCATGCTTTTGTATCCCTATTTCACCTTTGCAAAATCTTCAAATCTCTCCAGCATTCAAATTTTTTTAGACCGTTTCTATTTTTCGGCGATGTCGCATTCCTAGATCTTTTTTTTATTTAAGTAATTTCTCTAAAGCTTCTCTTCCTTCCATCCTTTCCATTTTTTGTTTTTTCAATTTCAATGGCTTCTGAGTCAAGTGCTAGTAGTGAGAGGGTCATCATTGCTAGGGTTGGAAAACAGGTTATGCGGATGGAGGTTATTGGACAATGAGTGAAGGTACCATTGATTACAAGGCGGGGTGGAGGATGCAAGAATTCTTTCTGCTATAACCTCTGCCAAATTGGTTGAACTTAGGGAAAGATATAGAATCCTAGATTCCATAGAACTCTTAGAGCCCGAGGCCACGAACGTGCATGTTATCTGAAGCAGGGTTGTGTGGTGGTTAGCAAGTTCTTATTTAGGCCAGGTATGCGTCTGCTTCTGCACCCATTTTTTAGGGCCGTGCTAAAGTCCCACATGTTAGCATCCACACAATTATTGGTAAATGGGTAAAGCCAATTGGTTAGGGCATATTTTCTTTGGAAGGAGACATCGCTTGGCAGGCATATGAACTTTATGTCTTCCAAACACTTTTCCAACCTGCGGAACTTATGAAATGAGAGTCTAAGAGATGGTATTACTTGACCCCATGGGAGGGCCCATGCCCTTTTCGTAGTAGGTTTGCCATCCTCCATCAAGGGGTGAAAGGATTCATGGTTTTAGTTGGGTGGTAAGTGGCAGTTGGTTGAAGGGAATAAGGCCACAATCGATACTGTGCCAACTACCCAGTATTCCGAAACTTGTGAGTTTCTCTTCTTTTAGACTTTCCATTTGTTTGTAATTTTACCTAACACATCGTGATTTGTAATTTCAGGGACTCACTTTGAGCTCTCCCAAGCAGAGTGGGACATTATTGAAGATATTTATAAAAGTCCTTCAAGGTCATGGGATTTCGACCGCCAAATTGATTGAAGCAAGTTTTTCCTGGACTATGGATTAATGGTTTCGAAATGTAAACATTGAAGCTCTATGTTAGTATATATCTATAGTACATATTTTAAAATTGCCTCTACTGTTTGCAGATGATTTTAAGAGGAAAAAAATACCCCATCCATGAAGTGGCTTTTATCTTGAAGGCCACCTTTATAGTTAAGCTCTAGGGCTCTGAAGCCTTCACCAAAGGTGCTAAGCATGTCCTGGAAAAACTCAAACAACTTAATAAAGAATGTACTGAGAAAGTGGGGACAAGGGGTTAAAAGGGTCGACAAGGGTAAGGGGAAAATTTAGAAGCCTAAAAAAAGGAGGTTATCCTACG